GCAATGGCTTCTTTAAATTGAATTGCATTTTTAAAAACCATTCCAACTTCAAAGTGTGGAACTTCACAATTGGGATCATAATGAAGGTGACTACTTGCAGTTCTCAGTGCATCATCTTTCACAAATGAGTCCAAGTCCTCAATCGAGCTATCACTATAGTAGCTACTAGGATCACTACTATCAACATATTCACTGTCCCTATCACTAAAGTCAGAATCACTATTCTCCAAATTAGAATTTGCAACAAATCTAGGGCCTTCACCTTCAACATCTCTTATCACAATCCCTTTTGAAGCCTGGTTTGCATCAATGGAATTTGAAAAGGGATTCAAGTTCTTCTTTCCTTTGGACACCTCTATCACTTTTTGTTTGCCTTTTTCAATTGCTTTACTTGCTGCACAATTGAAACTCTCAAAATCAGCATATCTATGATTCATTTTCTCAATACCAGCCACTAGCTCATCGTCATCCACGTCACTTCCTAGCATGTCATGTTGAAATAAAGCCATTTGCCATGCCTAGGGTGCGTTCTACTTAACCCTTCACCAGCATCAATATTTACCTCATAAAAAAAAGGCCTTACTGAAGTTTGTACTCCAATTTCTCCTTGCATGTTAGAGCTGTCATGCTCCACATATACATGGCAAATTCCTAACTCCATTAATATTTTTGCAACCTCAATTATCTCTACATCACCATTTAAAGGCAGTAAACCACTAGCAAAAGGCAAGTCAAGAACTTTGTAATACAATGCCTTTACTGATTGAATCCTGACCTCATTTAGTTTATCGATGATATCAAAATAGCATAGCTTGTCAATGTCATTAACTCCTAAATCACAAGTTTCACCTCCAACATAACGTGAAACATCTCTTCTAACATGTCCAGCATAATGGATACAAATCTTAAATGCTGCATCATCATCTGACATTGCTGTTTTTAAATGACAAAAAAAAACTAAAACAATAAATGAATCATCCATAATATTGTTAAATATAACTACAAATTCATGGAATTCACCCCAAACTCCCCATCTATTAGTCCATTTTGCATGTCCGTACAAAACCCAAAGCCCTTAGACCCACATAATAGTAAATTAATCATTAATCACATACTTAAATCTCAAAGTTTAGATTAATAGATGAATAAAACTCTAATACTCATTTCACCCCATGTGCTTTAAAACTTATTCAATGCTTGAGTAATGAAGTCCACCAACCTCTTATGGATGAGATCAACTCGATATTGAAGAAGATTCTTCCAAGTCTGGTCTGGTCGTCCTTAGTGCTCCCTTCTATGTCTTTCTATGTGTTTCTATGTCTTTATTTGCACATTTTCAGAAAGTATTTTTGAATATACAAGACACTTTCTTTTGTTTTTGGGAAACTTTTGTATCAAATGGACTAAATGGCGGCAACAATCCCGCCCAAATGCTAAATCACTTGCCACATAGGCATGACATGGCAAAATGTTGCCACGCAAGCGAGGTCCTAACGGTAGTTAAGTTGGCCATAAGAAGAAGGGCTAAATTGCACCGATCGCAGAGTTCAGGGGCTTATCTGCTTCAATTAAAGTCTGGGGGCTTAATTGCGATTCTGGGGTCGGTTCAGGGGCTTAACTTATGGTTTTGCCAAAGCACTTCTCCGTAAACCATTTAATGGTACAAACAACAAAAAAAGAAATGTAACCAACATTTATTGGAAAAAGCAACCCCCAAAATTTGTGACTAAAAGCAATTATCGGTGACATTGAATAAGTGTCATTAGCTGGTCTTTAAATATAAGTACACGATGGAATTTACTCATGTAAATTTTATATATTATATTTATATAAAATTATAATAATTAATTTTTTTATTTTTAATTGTTAAAATTTATCAAGATTTTTTCAATGAAAATAATAAGGTTAAAATTCTAATTCAGTCCTTCAACTTTGAAATTTATACTAAAATTATCTCTCAATTTTAAAAAGTACCAAAATTGTCCCTAAATTTTAATTTTAGGTACCATAATAGTCCTCAAACTGAAAAGACAATACTAATTTATTCCTTAAACTTTGAAGATAAGTATTAGTTTAGTTCTTGAACTTTGATTATAAATATCAATTTGGTTTTTCAGCTCTAATTATATATTAATTTAATATGTAAATAGAAATAGGATATGATGGCAAAATATGATTGTTGATTTTACACAGCATTATTATTTTAAAAAAATTGATTTTGTGGTAAAATAAAAAATTACGTAAAATTTCTATTAACAGAAAGACTTTTTTGGTATTAAAAATTAAAGTCAATGGACAATTTTTGGTACTTTTTGAAGTTAAGGGATAATTTTAGTACAAATATGAAAGTTAAAGGATTAAATATTGGTATTTTAATTAAAAATAATTATATTTAATAAATATGAATAAATTTCAACTATTAAAAGTAAAAAGATAAATAGTTGAAATTTTATATAAATATGATGTGTAAAACTTATGTGTAAATAGATCCATATTCTCATACATATATATATATAAGTTAAATGTGAATTTGGTCTCTCCACTTTGTGAGTTTACACAACTTTTGTCCCTCAACTATTTTTTACACTTTTTTAGTCCTCCAACTCCAAAACTTACACAATTTTAATCCTTCCATCAGTTAATCCCATTAGTTTAATAATGTGACAATACAACTAAGATACGATGCTTAAATGAATAAAAAAACACGCCAAGTCAGATTCTCAAGTGGGCCCCATGTCCTAAACTTCTAAATTCATACATCCACTACCCTCTTTATGACCCACCCACTGTAATTATATTTAATACCTTTTAATTCATAAATCAAATTATAAATCAAATTAATTAACTTACCATTAATTTCAATTTAATTTTAATTATTTATAATTACTTATTATAGAAATTCAATTAATCAAAAATAGTCTTGCAATTAAATTAACCTAAATTTCCTAAACAAATTTTCTCAATAGCCAAACACAACAATTTTCTCAACATCCAAATACAAATTCAAACAAATTTTTCTTACTCCATTTCATATTAAACACGAGTTGAAGTAAAATTTACCAATTAAAAAATGTTGGAATGAAAATTCACAATTCCTAAAATCTAGATCATTCGAACTCAAATCTAGGTTCCTATGAATCCATATTTCCAACTCAATTTTCTTTTCCTTTTTTCATTTCAATTCTAAAGAATACAATTGTAAAACTAAAACTGCTACAGTTCTCCATATTTTGCCGAATCACCATACACTACTTCTGTAATATCTCAAAATTTTGGGAATTTTATCAATTAAGTTAGGGGACTTATTTTGGGAGAAATATTGTTTTGGGGCCTAATAGCAAAAAAACTCCAAAGTTGAGGGACTTAAAAGAAAGGAAATGAGATAAGGATCAGCTGCTTTTTCTCTTTCTTTTTTCTTTCTTTCTTTCTTTCTTTTCTTCCTCATCAGGCCCGCGACCTACTCTTCTTCTTTTTTCTCCCCGACAAACCCCCCCAAGCTGCCGATAGTCCTCTCTTAAGGAATTGGCAAAAGCTTGCTATTTTTCTCCTCTTTTCTTGTTCAAGAACAAGATTTAGCGCTTAGAAACCTACCCCCCTCTGCAGAATTTTAGATCTGCTCTGCTCTGTTCTTTTTCCGTCAGCTGCTCTTCATTGTGTGGGTGTGAATTTTTCCAAAATTCTGGTAAGAAACAGCCCGAAATTCCTCTTTTCTCACTTGATTTGGCTTGGGTTACTCTAATTTCTCTTGGTTCCTCACAATTTTTGGTAGCTCTGTGAGCTTCCCCTCCAACTCCCGCCGATTGCCAAGCTCGCCAGAAACCCAGTTTGCTGGCCGAAAATTCGGGTAGGTGGCAGCTCTCCCAGTCTGGATTTTTTATCCATTAATTGCTGCCCTGTATTGTTGCAATTTTCTATGTATTGTGGAAGGAACCCGTTAGTTGCTACCCCTCTCGCTGTCCGAAAATTTCTGCCGAAACAAGGGAAGAATTTAGCAGCATTTTAAATGTGTTTTTGTGCTTGGGTTATGTAGGAATTTTGTTAATTAGGCTGCTGTGATGTCTAGAGAAAATCCCGTGAAATTAGTTATTGTTTTGCCCAAATTTTTGAAGTTACAGTCACTGTTCACTGCGGGATCACTGTTCACGGGCAATGTTCACGCAATAATGGCCAACAATTAACGAGGATTAAATGTTTAGTTTGTAATATAAGAACAAATTTGGAGACTAATAGAAATAGCATCGTGATTAGGGGTAGTCCCAATGATGATTTCACTTTGAATGTGGTAGTGGGGTATTAATTCTGGAATATTTTGGCTAGGTTCTTGATCGTTCTGTCACCCTAGCACTTGGGTTAAGCCTTCTGTTTTGTGCGATTTGAGGTAAGTATATTATGGTAAAACCTTTCGATTTTAAAGCATGTTTTAAATTGTTTTTGAGATGGTGGCAAAGTTTAAATTGATTTTATCAGCATCTGAGTGTGATTAAACTGAAATGAAAATTGTGATGTTTTTTATGAAAATTATTATTTTCTGGAATTAGCAGGATTAGAATGAAAATGAGAATTTCATTGTTTTTCTGAAGTTGAGCATGCTCACATGAAATTTTTTGGTTTATTCTTGAAATTGAGATTAATGGTGAATTATGGATTTTCTGTAAATTCTGCATGGTTTTGTCTCCGATATAGTCATGATTACTGACGCCCGCTAATGGGAGTTTGCAAACACTAGCACATATTGACATGTATTTCTATAGAACTGGTTCATCCTGCCAATGGGGTTAAACATTGGTTATTACTGACGCCTGCTAGTGGGAGTTGTTAAACACTGGTACCATTACTGACGCCTGCTAGTGGGAGTTTGTTAAACACTGGTATTTCTGTAACCCTACCAATGGGGTTAAACATTGGTTATTACTGACGCCTGCCAGTGGGAGTTTATTAAACACTGGTACCATTACTGACCCTGCCAGTGGGAGTTTGTTAAACACTGGTACCATTACTGACGCCTGCCAATGGGAGTTTGTTAAACACTGATACTTCTGTAACCCTGCTAATGGGGTTAAACATTGGTTATTACTGACGCCTGCTAGTAGGAGTTTGTTAAACACTGGTACTTTTATAATCCTGCCAATGGGATAATACATTGGTAATTACTGACGCCTACCAGTGGGAGTTTGTTAAACACTAGCCATGACTTATAGATAAGACTACTACTGAATTTGATTTTGCATTAACGGTTTTATCATTGAACGCTTTGCTATTGAACTGAATCTGATTCTACATAAATGGTTTGTCATTGAACGCTTTGCTATTGAATTGAATTTGATTCTGCATTAACGGTTTATCATTGAACGTTTTGTTATGTTAAACTGTTTATTAGGCATGCTAAAAATTTTACCCAAGGGCTATCCATATTTACTTACTGAGTTATCTCATAGTTTTCCTTGTCCACCATTTTAGGTAGTGTGACTTGAGATGCGAAAATCAAGGGGAGTGACGTGGTAGAAGGCTAGCCACTTGAAATTTGACATAGATTCTAGATATATATACCATGCTCTTGTAAGTTAGATTTTAATTGGAAATTTTATGGTATCAAAACTGATTTTGTTGAGTAAGTTCCGAGCCTTGTGCACTTGTGGGACCCGTCTCACAAGTGCACGGCGTCTGCCATGTTCTCGGATTTGGGTTCTGAGGCGTGACAACTTCACTCGTGGCCACGCCGTCAAACCTTCTACAACAACATGTATGAGTGCAAGGTAGAAATTTTCTTTTCCTTTTTCATTTCAAATTCTAAAATCACAATTGCAAATCTAAAATTGCTACAGTTCTCCACATTTTGCGGAACCACCATATGCTACTTCCCTCACGGCCATGCCTTCGAGCCTTCTAGAACAACATGTAAGAGTGCAAGGTGGAAATGGAGCATAAGGAACCAACATGACACAATTGTAGGTCCAGGAACCAACACAAAAACTCAACGCTAAGAACTTGGATCCCAATCGCATTGGTGACGACTTTGTGATTACACTAATTGATTTTATTCCTATGAACCCATAGATCTGGATTTTGCGAACCCACATTGCAATGCATAAAAAAGGAAAAAACTCACAAAGATGGAAGAAAGGAGTTGGTTTAAGGAAGAGAAGGGAAGGTTCATGAACACAAACTCAAATCTAGATTCATGAACCCAGATTTGGGTTCATGAACATGAACCCAAAAAAATTTAGAAAAAAAAATGAGAGGGGAGAGGAAAACAAGTAGAATAAAAAAAAAAAGAAAAAAAAAAGGAAATGGGAGGAAAAGGTTGCTAGAAAAATGGAGGAGAGGGAGAAGTTGCTAGAGTTGATGAAGATAAATAGAGGGAGAAATGGGATCGTCGAATCGAGAATAAAATGGGTAAGAGGGGCATTTATCTGATATTATAAAGGTAATAAATATAAATATAATAGATGGGCCGAATGGAGATATTAGTAGATGCTTGACTTAGCAACTTTTTTTATTTTATGGTATGATGTGTAAATACATGTCATCAATCAATTTAAGGAAAATTCCATTTGGAATATTTAACTGCCAGTGTGTTACTTAACTGACAAAAGGATCAAAATTGAGTAGTTTTGGGAGTTAAGGGACTAAAAAAGCATAACAAATAATTGAGACAAAACTTATGCAAACTCACAAAATTGAGGGACTAAAATTAGTATTTAACCATAGATATATATATAGAGGCAAAAGCCTATTTTTAGCCCCTTATCTTATCAAGTTTGAAGGTTTTAGTCCCTTATCTTATCAAGTTAGAAGGTTTTAGCCCCTTATCTTATCAAGTTAGAAGGTTTTAGCCCCTTATCTTATACTATAACACTTTTAATCCCTCACCTTACTACATTTGTAGATTTTAGCCCATCACTCATACTATAACACTTTTAACCCCTCACCTATTAAAATTGAAAAAAATCATCCTTACTTTGTAATAATTTGTTAATTCTATTAGCTGACTGTTAGTTACTATTAATTGACAAAAACATTTTTTCAACTAACAAAGTTAACAAAACTAATTTTATAATATTTCGTTAATTATGTTAATTGACTATTATTTAACTGTTAATTAACAAAAATCTACTTTCAGCTAACAGAGTTAACAGTCAATATAAAGTGAGAGTTATTTTCTTCAATTTTAATAGGTGAGGGGCTAAAACCTACTAATCTAGTAAAGTGAGGGGTTAAAAGTGTCATAATATAAGGTAAAGGTTTAAAACCTTCAAATTTGATAAGGTGAGGGGCTCAAAGTAGGTTTTTGCCTGTGTGTAGGAGCAAGCTTGAAAATCACAGCCATTAAAGTAATATTTCAAGTAGTAGGCTTAACATGATACCAGGACAAATCGGGAAAGAAACCACATGGATAAATTATTAAACAAACTTAACCTTGGGCAAATGGTTGAAGCATTTATCTTGGCTTTCAAATTTCAATTTGTAGTTGGTTGACTACGCCATATCATTTTAGAAGAAGAAGCAAAGAAAATGTTGCCAATACAAGTTTTGACAAAATGACTCCCACCAAGGACATGCATTTATCTTCTGAAAATCTAATAAGATGAAACTAAATTTAGCTAATGAGATCTTTACCGATTAAAATATTCAATGAGATATCACCATCAAAGCTACTCAAACCCTTAGACCATTAGAAGCTCCTATACAAAACATTTGTGAACTAATTAAAGCAGGTTACATAAGGAATCACCTGGAGTGACATCAACGGAGGAGGCATCTATGCCAGTGATTGCTGCATCAATACATGATCCATACTCATTAACATTCCATAACTAATATGGCAGTCTCCCATAAGAATTATCCAAACTGTCTTAAGGCTTTCTTGTTGGGTTTCAAGTCCCAAAAATGAGATGAGTTTATTGAGACCTTTTGTTGAAACAAACTCTACATCATTAGAAGGGATGAAAAGAAATAATTCATCAAGATAATACTATATTAATGAGAGCAGGTGAAGACGTTTTCTACGTGTCAACGATAATTCTTTGACTTTGGCAGCGAATTGGATACCTGAATATCAGAGTCAACAGAACTAGCAATTTCTTCAGCCAAGATAAGAGAAACCTCCTCTGAAGGATTTGTCTTTGGGTCATCTTTCGTTCCACCTTTCATGGACTCTTAATTGTAGGATGTATGTAGAATATACCATCACTAAGCAAAAATATATATCAATGCAGTTTATACAATTCAAATTTTAAATAAAAGTTTACGAATAAAAGCTGGAAATACCCATTATAAATGATCGCACATGGTGTTACGTTCCATATCTTAGGTAAAGGTCAAACAGTATTGACTTCTTGCCTTCCCGTTGCATTGGAATCAAGAGCGAGTGCAACAGCAAGACAACAGTTTATGTTTTCGACAGTAAAAAATTGTGGAAATTTTCTGTTAGTTGAGGCTTTTAATCAATGTATTAAGGTGGCATAGAAGTCAATTAAATTTTGGGAAAGGGATATTAATAAGCATACTATTACGTTATCCAATGAAGAAAGTATACCTAATTGCACATGCATGGTAAGATGAGTACCAAACTACCAATAGCTATGTAAGGTGCCCCAACCTTGTGTCTGAAGCGTTGAAAGTGCTAAACCTGTTGTTTGTCCTGGAAAACAATATTTTGAGTTATCAATAACATCCCAAGGAGGTATTTTACTGAAGAAGCTTGTTTGGGAGGCGAGAAAATGCACTTTCCTGAGAAAATGCAAAACGCTGTAGTGCCAAACCGGTAACTGTCTTCACTTTGTACTCTTGAGCAAAACATTTTGAGCCCAGAAGCTTATTGAGTTTTTGGGCTGCGTAACGTGATCGCTAGCCCTTGTACTTTAAAGCATCCAGTCAACAAATTGTTTAAAGAATAATATACCGTCCATTAAAAAACATAATAATATTAAGGACAAAAATTTTAAATTAATTATATTATTTATATTATACTATTAAATTAACTAATATATAATATTATAAGTATTTAAAAAATAAAAAATTTATCATTAAATAATATAAAATTTATTTTTTTTAATATTTTAAATAATGTAACGTAAGCCACGATATTGGTCTCATAT